CAAACATCATTCCCTTTGGCCCCACTCCCAGGAGCTCTGGCTGGTCCTGCGGCAGATGCGCTGCTGGTTTCTTCAGCTGTCTGCACGCTGTTCTTGCCCTGACCATGCTGGTTTACGTTCAGCAGTGTGCAGGAGCTCCCTCTGTCCGCAGCCCCACTGCATGGGAAATCATTCCTTTTCCATCCTTTATTCATGTGAAGATGGAATGATGTAACCATATCCAAATGTGGACAGTATTTTAAAAATATCTTTGTACAACATCACATACTTTATGAGCCATTTGCTGGTTTTGTGTGTGTGTGTTCATGTGTGGGGGTGAAATGGGATTTCTCATTGTTTACCCATTTTCTATTAGGTTGTCCATCTTTTAAATGCACTAGTAAAATGACAGAACATTAAAAATAAGTCTTATGTCCAAACACTGTCTCCCTGCAGTTAAAAGACTGGACAGTGCCCAATGGTGGCCGATTCAGGAACAGACGTCCCCGGCCAAGGACCTCACAGCACTGCCCCGTGTGCTCTGGACAGTGGCACTGGGCACCTGGCCCAGGGCTCTGTGGGCAGGGCTGACCCAAGACCACAAGAAGCCAGGTCTGAGGACGTGAGCCCTGGACAGCACTGCCCACTGCCCCAGGAGCCCAGGGATCACCCTGCCTGTCCAGCTCAGCCAGGCTGCAGCAGGCTGGCATGGCTGCGAGTTGCTCTGTCACGGGTCTTGCTTGTTGGGTGCCCCACTGGGGGGCTGGGGCAGCAGCGGCAAGGTGGTGGGATGTGTCCCCATTACACTGCCCACAGTGTGGTCAGCTCGTGGGGCCTGGAGTGGGCTGCAGGGTGGCAGGAATGCCCATGTGGGAGCCGCTGCCCTGCGATTCCGCTTTCTGGCCATCTCCACCTCGTGAGGAGGGGCGCCCCAGCCGCGCAGCCCCAGGTCCTGCTCGCTGTGGCCCCGGGGTGAGTTACAGCCAGGGTCTGCCAGCCTGGAAGCTCTGCCACAGGCTGACTCTTCCTAAGGACGGACGGTGTTTTAGTGTTTTCTTACTCAAACAGAAAGGCGTGTGTGTTGTTCTCCGAAACATCTCCAGATTTTAGAAGGAATTCAAATGTTTATCTTTTGACTATTACCGTTTCAAGCCTCTTTCTTAGCTCACTTGCTCCCTCTGTGACATCACCCCGCACACTCTTCCTGGTGCCCAGGTCCCACCAGCATTTCACAATGAGCTGTCTGCTCGCTCGTGGGCCCGAGGCTGGCGGCCCAGTTTTGCGGGGAGGAGACTCTGTCTGCTCATGGTCATCTTCCCTTCATGCTGCTCCGTGATCCCTAAGCTCTTCTCATTTGGGTTCATCACTTTTGTGGGAAGAAAGCAGGCCCTTCATTACTATCATTAGTTCGGTTTGGAGGAACCTAATTTTTAAGTGAAGAGGAGGCATACATTGGGATGTCTTGTCAGGAAGGAAAAGTGCCCGGAATTGGAGGGATTTGTGGGAAGGTAGCTAGCTCAGTTGTGCTCCTCCCTAAGGCGTGGTGCATACCAAGCGCCTGGGTGCCTCACAGAAAAGCCTTGTCTAAGGGCCCTAAGAGGGAGCCCGGGCCGAGAAGGCCAGGCTGGTGGACTCCGTTTCTGGCAGCCAAAGCCTGTCATGCTCCATCACAGGAGCTGTGAGGTCTCCTAGAAACAGTCTGGGCTGGGAGCTGGGCTCTGTCCGACGAGCCCCAGGATGCTCGGTGGTAACTAAAGACCTTTGCTTGAGGCTGAGTAAACAGTCTTAAGTAGGAGCTACTGATCTGAGAAACGCAGAGGGAGCAAGGGCAAAGCAGCAGCAGGGACAGAGGAAGCTGGGGCGGTGGGGGGGGGGCTGGAGATGCAGGCGCCGGCAACGGCTTCCTGAGCAGCCCAGGAAAATCAGCAGGAAGCCACTGGGAATCATCAAATTAAAGAGCTTCTGCGCAGCAAAGGAAACAGTGACCGGTGTGGGGAGGCTGCAGAGCGGGAAAGCATCTCACCGGGCACTGTGCCCACAGAGCATCGACATCAGCACGTGTGAAGGGCTCCAGAAGAACAAACGGTCCAATCAGAATGGATGCAGGAACACAGACAACTTCCCAGAAGAACGTGAACAGCCAATAATCACAAGGAAAAATGTTCAGCATCTTTAGCCACCAGGGAAATGCGAATCAAAACCACACGGAGCTTCTGGCTCACCCCAGGCAGCACGGCTGGCATCGAGAACACAAAAATACTTGCTGGTGAGGTGCAGGTGGACAGAGCCCTCCACGCTGCTGGGGATGTGGACCCACGCGGCCCTGTTCGAATCAGGAGGGAAGGGAGGGTCCCGCCTGAGCCAACTGCCCCTCTTCTTGGCAGACACCCGAAGGAATTAGCACCAGGGTCCCCCAGGGACACCTGCGTGCCACGTGTACCGTGGCACCATGCACACAGCCACGGTGTGGACCCAGGCCAGGTCCCTCAACAGACGAACAGATGCAGAAAATGTGGCCCAGTGGAATACTATTCAGCCATGCAGAAGAACAAAATCCTGTCATTCACAGAAAGGTGGAATGGAACTGGAGATGGTCATGTTCAGCTAAGTAAACTAGACTCGGAAAGTTAAGTAACACAATTTCCTGAATGTATAGAATCCAAGAAAATAATGATGTAAAAATAGAAAGGGGGCCATGCAACAAGTCAAAGGGGACCAGGAGGGGTTCGAGGGAGGGTAATGGGGCAGTCAAAAACAGCCCCGAACAGCAAAATGGAAAAAAGGAATCCAAAAGAGAAATGCAGACAAAACAAAAACAAAGCAACTTGCAGAAGAAAAGATGAAAAACCTAAAAGCAGGACCCTCAGGTCCCCTGAGCAATAGTGAGGCTGTGGGGCAGGTGACCAGGGTGCAGGACACACGGGCCTGATGGAAAAGCGAAGGGTCAGCTGACCGGAAGAGGGAGCTGGGGTCACCTGACAGCACGCACTATGGAAAGGTTCGCTGCAGAGACGGAGGAGGCATGCGAGGGAATCAGGATCGATCCAGGCAGTGTGGCGTGCAATGAAATCCCAGAGGCAGAGCCAGAAACAGACATTTCCAAAGAAGTTGACCAAGAAGGTCCTCAGAGTTGGAGAAGAGGGTGCCCGGCTTTAACTGGAGTGAGCGCAGGGAGGAGGCCAAAGCCCCCAAGGCGCTTGGGTGAGAATTTCTATCCACTGACAGAGAAGGTGGGAGAGGGCAGGAGAGGGGTGGCAGGAGGGCACAGGTCACTTACAAAAGGATGGGAACCAGGGTGGCATCAAACTCCCTAAGGGCAACCCTGAAGCTGGGAACGGTGGTGCACCCCTGAGATCAAGGCCCTGTGGGAAGCCAAGGCAGGGGATCCCAAGTTCAATTCCAGTCTGGGAAACTTAGCTACTTGGAAAGACCCTGTCTAAAAATAAAACTTTCCTTTTCTCAAAAAAGGCTTGGGAATGTAGCTCACTGCCAAGACTCCAGGTTCAACCCCAGCACCCGCCCCCCCACACACGGGCACACACACGGGCACACACTACTGGCTTCTAGAAGACAGTGAAGTGCTGCTTTCATGGGCGGGCCCTGCTGGAGGACGAGCTGAGGCTGGGAGCAGTCATTGCGCCTCCAGACTCGTGTCAGGAGCAGGGGAAATCCTCCACTCTGCTCTCCTCATCCAGGACTCACAGCAAACGCTATTCCTATTTGGAGAAACTGAGAACACAAGGGGAAGTAACTTGTTAAAGGTCAGTTTTGGAAGCAAAATGCAAGTTTCCCCCAATTATGAAGATGCCTGAAGATGTGGCGAGGAGTTATATCTGCCTCAGGACAGAGCAAAGATCCGAAGAGAACAAGAGGGGAGTTTCTCCAGACTGCCGCTCAGCCGCGAGGGGTGACACCACACAGGGGCCTCTGAAGCGGAGCTCCCCAGGCCACATGCCGGGTGAGAAAGTCCTCGACCTGAGGGAGCCCGTCTGATACTTTGCATCACTAGGATGTGAGGCACGTAAATAACTGCTTGTGTATTTTTTTTTTTTAGACAGGGTATCGGTGAGTAGTTCAGGCTGGCCTTGAACAAGCTTCCAGTAATCCACCTGCCTCAGCCTCATGAGTGCTGGGATTACAGGCGTGCACCACCATGCTCGGCTGTTTTTTAATTTTTATTTTTATTAGTCCATGTTTGGAGTATGTAGTGATTAAATTCTTTGCGGGGAGATGGCACATGTATGTAACACATCCTCATGCTTCGTATGCTCCCCTGTCCCATCTCCCGCTTCCCTATTATCTATCTCTGATTTATACTTTGGGTCCTTCATGTAAGAGAAACCATGCAATATTTCAGCTGGTGTATTTGATTTATTTCACTTAACCTTATGAATTCAAGGTGCATCCATTTTCCAACAAGTGACTGACTCATTTATCTTTATTTATGGCAGCATAGTCCTCCATTGTGTGTAAATATCACATTTTTATCCATTCATCTATTGATGGACATGTAGACCACTTCCAAGATGTATCTATTATGAACTGTATTGCTATAAACATAGGTGTGCATGGGTCATTGTAAACAATTCCTTTAACTCTTTCAGGAGGATACTAGAAGGGGAATAGCTGGGTTAAATGGAATTTCTAGTTTTAGCTTTTTGGGTTTTTTAAAAACAAGGTGTTGCAGTGTTGTTCAGGCTGGTTTGAACTCTCTATGGAGCCCAGGCTGGCCTCAAACTCATGACGGTCCTCCCGCCTCAGCCTCCTGAGTGCTGGGATTGCAGGCGTGAGCCACCACGCCCGGCTCAGATTTTTGAGGAGTCTCCATACTGATTCCCACAGTGGCTGCACTAGTTTACATTCCCACCAACAGTGTAGAAGGATTCCTTTCTCCCTGTAGCTTTGTCAGCATTTGCTGTTATCTGATTTCTTGATGATGGCCATCCTTTCTGGAGTACAATGGAATCTCAGTGTTGTTTTAATTTGCATTTCTCTAGTGGCCCGTGGTATTGAACATTTTTTTCATGCTTTGATTGGCCATTTGCACTTCATTTCAGTTGCCCTTTTTTCAGCTGGGTCTTTTATTTTGGGTGTCTACAGTTCCTTACATATTTTCTCCATATTGGTCCTCCGTCCGAGGGGCCCCTGGCGGCATTTCCCCTTCTGCAGCTGCCTTGTCGCTCACTCTCTGAGGAGGATGCAGGAGCTTTGGCCACTCCAGGCAGGAGCCGTGCTCAGGGGACCAATTGGACTCACCCTTCTCCTTTCTCCGGCAGGGCTGGTTGGTAGGAGGGTCACGGAGCTAGGGTGAGCTCAGGAGTCTCTGAGGTACCGCAGATCTCGGCGAGGACGATCTCAGGACATGCGGTGCATTTCAGCATTTGGGAAAATCAGAGGTCCCAGATCTATTGAATCTTTGGGAAAAATATCACAGAAGGGCAGGCAAATGAGACAGAAGCAGAAATTACAAAGGAGGAAACGTAAACCACTGTCTCATGGGTGAAGGGTTCACCTGGCTGCCAGACGGTTATGATTCAACCGGGTTACATCAGAGGGCGTCTCGCATGGGACGCTGAGCTCAGCAGCACCGCACCTGGGGTGGACATTCTCCCAAATCCAGGAATCAGAGCGGCAAGAGCTCCTGCTTGTAAACGGAAGCCGGAGTAAGAGAAGTTCCGGGAGAAGCCAGGCAGAGGAGAGACCTTCGGATGCTGCTGATCTGTAAGTTATGTGCCTGTATTACTTGATTATTTGGTCTTTTGTGGCAGGAAGTGTTTTATGTTTCAATACTGAAGAAACAGCGAGAAGTCTGCTCTTAGCCCTCCTGCTTGGCTCCTCTCGCCACGATGACCAGCATGTTTTTCTTGTGCATCCTTCCAAAGATGATTTGCTTATGCTGTTTTTAAATTCAGTATTAGCCTGAAAGACACAGAAGCAGAGAGAAGGTCTGCTGAGGCACAGTTCCTGTGAACTGATACAGGCGATTTGTTCTCCACCCAGTGACAAAACAGGTGGAAATCTCATGGCTCCTTGAAAGCCTTAAGAGAAATGCACACTGCTGCTTTAGTAACAGCTTTTCCGGGGACAATCATGTCCTTCAATTAAAAATCAGGACATTTACAGCTGCCCCGCCTTCCCTCCTGTCCCAGAAGCAGGGGCCCCGATCCCAATGTTCTGGTGTCTGCAGTGGCTGCTAACGGGGAGGGGTGCAGGTCCACCGTGGCTCCTCGTGGGCGCGGCCCCCTCTGGGCACCCAGCTCTGCTGCTGTTGACCTCAGGCTCTGCGGGCCTGGTAAGGCTCTGGGCGGCCCAACATGACTGAGCTTGACGTGAGTCACCCGGTGCCTGGTAACCCTCTCCTCAGCGCCCTAAGGCGCCTTCCCAGGCCAGACGCCCCCGGGCACAGGCGAGCAGACAAGTGGGGACGAGGGGGTCCGGGCCGGGGGCGAGGGGCCTGGCTGGGGGCGTGGCGGGAAAGCCCTAAGTGACGGGCAGGCTCCCCAGGAGCCCCGGAGTGACGGGCATGGCGCTGTGAGGCAGCCACCAACAAGCGCAGCGCTGATGACGCCTGCAGAGCGGGTGGGAAGGGACGGGGCCGTGCACTGGAGGGAGAGGCCCACAGGCATGGAGGGCACCATCCCGGGAAGTGCAGGGCCTCATGGGCTCCCCATGAGCCCCGGAGGCCTTTTATTGCCTTCTGACCCACGGGAAGCAAAGCAGTAGTCAAGTATCTTTGGAAAGGAATGGTGACTGAATTGCACTTTCTGTGACAGAAATAAAGCACATCTCACACAATTTTCAAAAATAGGAATTAGCTGGGAGGCTGAGGCAGGTGGATTGCAAGCTCAAGCTCAGTCTACAATTTAGTGTGACCTTGACTGAAAATTTTAAAGAAAGTAGAGCCTGACAGCCGAATGTCCCAGCCTCACTGGCTTCTGGCCCATCAACCTGATGTGAGGGACACTGGCTTCGGAGGGAGACCCAGAAGCAGCGCGAGGGGCTCCTGCCAGATGAGCCGCTGCCTTGGTGAACGAGGGTATCGCTCTCGGGACCGGGCTGCGCAGGAGAAGGGGCCGCAGAGGCGACTCTGGAGCGAGCTCAGAGCAGAACAAAGGCAGGATGGCCCAGGCGAGCAGGAGGAATGTGCCTTTCCGTCCCAGCAGACGGGACTCTCCCAGCTTTCAGAGCTGAGTCCAGACCCGCGGCAGACTGACTGAAAACGCTAACATTTACCCAGCTGAACTGTGCTTCTGTACCCCACGCTTCCCTCCCTGCTTTCCAGGCAGTACGCGGAACTCTGAAGTAGCTTGAAGGAGTTTTAATGAGTGAATCATCTTTTGAGATCATGTGAACTAGACTTGCAGGGATGCCTGCGAGTGATTGGTATTGAGGTTTTCAAGAAACGTTAGAAAAACCGCTTCCTTCATTTTCCTTCAGACGGGAGAAGAATTCCGAAGGTTGCTGTTGATAACAGCACAGTGACAGTGGGAGGGGCACTGAGGGGCCGAGGAAGGCGTCGTGGGTGAGACTCGGTTACCAAGTCACAGTCAGCTCACAGTCTGCTTGCAACACTGTTCTGTTCCCAGGGGTTCTGTGGTTGATCTGCATTTCACGGTGAGGAGGACCACTTCTGCTCACGCTCCTTAGAGGACGCCCTTGACGGCAGCCAGGTGCTGGCCCCGGTTTGCAGGAGCGGTGAGGATGGGTGCCTGACCTGCAGCAGTTTACAGACAGCTTTGTCATCTGAGGACGCGCCCTCTTTTTTGCTGGATAATTATTTCTTTCGTCTTCCTGGGTTCCTGTATTTTGATAGGTCTCAACATTGGCTCACGAGTGCTGGTAATATTTATTCTGTAATCTTAAAAGAGTGTCTTGCCACTAGGAGTAAATCCCCCAATTAACATTTTCTTCTCTAGCATAGCACTGTCATTTTTTTTTTTGTGATAATGGTTATGTTTATTTATTTCAATACTGAGTCATATATAAATTTTCAATAAGAGAAACTTTCTTACCTTAAAAAAAAGTAAAGGTCTGGAGGTGTAGCTCAGTACAAATGCCTTGGGTTCAATTCCTATCACACATGCACCATAAAAGGAACCTGAAGCATTAAAACTCACATAATATATAACAGAACACACTTGTGGGCTGGAACCGATGCTGACCCAGTGCATGGATCAAGGCAGGTGCCAGAGGTCTGAGAGAGAGAGGAGAGGAGAGAGTTTAGATAGAGATAAACAGCAATAGCAAGGAGAGGGCAGAGACAGATAAACAGAAGACAGACGGAAAATACAGGTGCACTGGGAGACAGGAGGTCTTCCTGGGATGCCACGGGGACTCCTGTCTGCTGCTCCCTCTCTCCTCCTTCCCCAGTAGCTGCAGAACCAGGGTCTCTGGGTCCCCAGGTCCACCACGCTCCGGGACCCTAGAGCCCACTTCCTCAGTCAGCTTCTGCTCCAGTTTTCCTGGACCTGCTGTGCAGTAGTGAAACCGTGCACCCTTCACGTACTGTTGAATTACTGCAGGCTTTCTATGTTAGGGCTCAGTAACTCAGAGGATATAATTACATGAGGCTTCAGTAGAGTTTTGTCAGAGCATCGCCTTGTTGCTTCACTTGGCTGGCTTGTGGGAATGCCCGCCCTCCATCTCCCTGGCTATGGCCATCCCAGGGTCAGACCACCCCAACCAGGCCTGCCTGGCCTCAGGAGAAGTCTGGCTGCATTTTAGGGTGGGGAACACTCCCCTGTCCCCCGACAGGGCTGCACGGTGTAACGAGGCAGGGCCAAGCTCTCCTGGCCACCTCAGCCCTTGCTTGTCCATTCCGTGGCCACCCTGGAGGTGTGGATGCCCGGAAGTTCCCTCAGGAGCCAGGGACGTGTGAGAGGCGAACCTCCGTGTGGGACAGCGGCAGAGGCCCCATCCTGAACAGGGCGGGGAAGGACAAGGCCGGGAGTGAGTGGTTCTGCTTGGCGCCCCCACGCTGGGCACAAGCGGCTGTCTTTCAGGTGGTCACTCATGCGCCTGCGGCTCTGTCCTGCTCCACCTGCCCTTCCACTTCTCAGCCCTGTGGGTGTCACCTGCCTCAGTGGCTGGGGACAGTCTCCCTACATTCCTGCCTTTAGATGCTGCTTTCTCTTCATGAATAACATGTTGTGCTTACAACCATTGTGTAAAAAAAATAGGGCCGGGGATTTAGCTCAGTGGTTTCGCCGCCTGCTGTGCAAATGCAAGGACCCGAGTTCGATCACCAGTACCAAAAAAAAAAAAATGCATATTGCCAATCTGCTTGCAAATACATGGGCTGATTCTGATAAATACCCATAAATAAATACACGTCTGTCTCTCAGGAGCAGCTGGGTGGGGGTGGCTGAGGGCCAGGGGAGGCTTCCGTCCATGCCTTCTATGTCCTGAATTCTGAAGAGTGAAACATATTACCTACTAATAAACAAATTAACTCAGAATTTGAGATAATGATAATGAAAAGGCTCTGCTTTTTTGGGATCCATGCCATGGCTAATTCTTCCTCTTCCTGAGGGCTGCTGATGCTGGAAGCCATCCACCTGCCATTAAGACAGGAGCGTTCCCCTTACTGTTTTTTAGGAGATGCTTTTAAAAAATTAATGTAGGAATGGGTGTTGAGTTTTATCAAGTGGTTTTCAGCATCTGCTGAGACAGTGATGCGTGTTTTTCTCTTTAATCTCTTAATGCACGGAGTTACAGCATCGGGTGTCTTGAGGTTGAGTCATCTGGAGCAAATCTGTGATATATTATTCTTTTAATCTGCCGCAGGACTCAATATGCAAGCATTTTTTGAGGATATTTTTTCATCTATCTCCCTGAGGAGAAAAGGCCATTGCTTTCTTCTTGTTGACTCCTTTGGTGTCAGGTAGACGCCAGGGTCCAAGGAGCTGGGAGACGTGGTCATTTTCCAGGCTGCCGGACACTCGGCAACACAGAACTTGTCTGGTCCTCTTCGTCATGAATCCTGGGTGCCTTCTTAGGGCAGATCACTGACTGCCCTTTCTTTTTTGGTTGCTTTTCTTTCTCATACATTGCTGTAGAAAATTACCCATTTCTTTAAGATTTTCAACTTTACTTTAATTTTCATTATTACTATTTCTAGGTGTGGAGGACTGACCCAGGTATGTGCTCTTCCCCAAAAGACAGCCCTGCTGGTGCATATTGTTATTCAATAGGCAAATCTTCCATGTCCTCCCTTTTATCTACTCAGTCAGTTTCTGACATTTTAATCTTCTCAGATTGTGTGATGTTTTCGGTTGGTCCTTGTGCATTCATCATTTTGGCTTTGTATTCTTCGGAGCTCTAATGCTGGGTCTGTGGGTGCTCATGTGCCGAGTTGCAGCCTACTCTCAGCGTTTCTCCCCTCCTGTTTCCTTGAGGGGCTCACTGGGGGGCTGAGCTGGAGGCAGAGCAGACACCAGGGCTAGGAGTCCCCAGGGAGGCCCCCACTGTGAGCCTCTGGGAGCCCAGCCTGAGCATCACACTGCTGCTCCTGTAGCTGAGGAGGGGCCCCCAGCAGGCGGGGCTGTGCCTCGGAGCCACTGCGCTGGTCTATTCTGCTATTTGGAGTGGGGAGTGTCACTCACAGCGGCTTGGGACTGGATGGGGGTTGCGACATGATCGTTCAGGGTTGGTGGAGGTGGCCTGGGGAGGATGTGGAGGCAGAAACGTGGAGACGCTCAGGAGTGAGCGAGCTGTCTGTGGATGCTTCCCACGTGTATCTGGGGATTCTGGTCGTGAATGTTCAAGTCATTTCCTGGGTGGAACACCTGCACCACGGCGAGTTATGCAAGTTTGGGCTGTGTATACAGTAGCCTCTGTGCGCATGTGCGCATGTGCACGCGTGCGTGTGTGTCTGTGTGCCTGTGCGTGCGCACGGCCGTGTATGTGGTGTGCACACCTCCCCTCCGGCCCTCACTGCTGTGCAGCACCTGGTGACCCCCACTCCCCAGCTCACAGCTCCTTACCCGCGGCAGTCGCCATGGCTTGGTCTCCTTGTGGCTGCCACTGGCGACCCTGCAGGTCTCCAGGGCAGGTGCAGGAGAATGCAGCAGCCAGGGCTGCCATGTCTCTGTCCATTACCACAGATCAGACTTGGACTTTCCAGCCCCACTGGTGTGGTTACAGCTTCCTGCGGATGACAGGCGGCTGAGATCGCCCAGTGTCAGGTGGCACCGCCCTCCTTAGGCAGCAAAGGCCTCCGTGGACCTGAGCCCTCCCGTGGACCTGAGCCCTCCCGCTGTCACCACCATGCAGGGCATGTGCACCGTTCGTCCCCTCGTGGCTGTGACAAATCTGGGCCCGATTCCTTGTTAGCATCTGGCCTGAAGTGACCTCCGGGCGCTGAGGAAGAGGGGAGTTCGTCTCCCTTTGAAGCTGGGGCGGCTGCTACTGTGCTGCCTGCTCGAGTCCCTTGGGCCTTCCTGACCGAGGAGCCCGGAAGGGACCTGAATGAGAGCAGCTGCTGCCCGGGGCCCAGAGGCCCCGCCTCACAGAAGCGCTGCCAGTGCCCGCCCAGCTCCCTCTCCGGCGGGACCCTGCCGGCTGCCAGTGCAGAGCTGCACCTCCCCACATTCCCTGGCCCAGAAGGAGCCACCGGACCCGGAGTCCAGGGCAGCCACAGCCGTGGAGTGACCCCAGCAGCGTCTGTGGACACTCAGCGCTCCCGCCTGCGCCTGGCTGCGGAGGCCACTGTCTGGCCTTGCTGCTCCCTGCTCCAGCCTGTGCCCTCCCCACTCCCTTCCGAGCACACTCCTTTCTTACCGTTTCCGCTGCTGTCTCGTGTCCCCCAAGCCTCATGTATCCAGAGGCGGGGCTCTGGGGAGGTGCGTGGAGCATGGGCGAGTGGTGCTGGCTTCGTCCCCTGAGGGCTGGCAGCTGGGTGTGACACTGGCAGGTGAAGCTCTGATGGGCGGTGGGTGCCCTCCCTTGCTTCTCAGTTGACTGCCTGACATACTGAGCTGTAAGGGAGACAGAATTTGTCCTGCAAAATCAGAGGTGGCCCCTAGAATCCTACACTCTGCCTCTCAACTCCATCTGAACAACTTTCTCAAAGCCCATTTTATTTATTTATTTTTTAAAGAGCCCCACACAGCTGCCCGACAGACTGGCAGGCTTGTGTTTTGAAGGCCGCAAGGGCCGATCTCGCCGCCTACCGGCCGTGTTTGGCATTGCAGCTGCCGGTTTCGGGGGACCGCGCCAGAGGGAAACACCGGAGAGCGAGAGTGCGGAAGGGAAGTTGCTTCCACTTAGCACCTGGTCTCCACAGGCGTTAACCTTTAGATTTCTTTTTTTCGGGCCAGGGATTTAGCTCAGTGGTTTTGCCGCCTGCTGCGCAAGCTCAAGGACCTGAGTTCGATCCCTGGCACCAAAAAAAGAAAAAAGAAAACTAAGACATAGATTTTTTTTTTTCTGTTTAGATTAGTTTTTCTTTTCGCAAGCAGTGAAAAGGAGCCAGGGCCAGTGTCAGGGGACTTCAAGCAGCCGGGCTATGAGCCGGGTTCATGGTGGGCTGGGCCCGAGGGCGGTAGGATGAAGGGTGAGGGCTGCCCACCCTCGGTAGTCTGGAGCAGACAGAGGGGCAGGAGGAGCTGTGGTCGGCCCTTGTTGCTTTGCTGTCTTCTGCCCGCCCTGAGCTGTTTCTCCTGTGCCAGGCCCCCGCCCACCCACCTTGGAGCCAGTGGATTAGGAACTGAAACCTCTACAAACTCTGAGCTAAATAAACCCCTTTCCCTTTAACTGTGGGTGTCAGGTATTTTGTCTCAGCAATGAGAGAAAGATAACTAACACAGGGTAAAATGGTCAATTTTATGTTATTTATTCATCACTGCAATTTGGGGGACCACTTCTGCACCCCAAAGTCATGACGTGACTTTTTACTTTGCGCTTCTGTCCTTCAGAGT